GAGGGTGTAAGTTTGACCTTTTCAGTGAGGCGCAATTTGTGCCATCACGCCTCAAGACTGACGGCCTTTGCCTGCGTCCTCAATCAGATTCCTGGCAGTTTCATCTCCCCGGATCTGGTGCGCTTCTATAGCTCGTTCGACCCCATGCTACCGCCTTGCGTCCGCCACGCTTTTCATGCTATGGCTCTCTTTGAGGATCGCAAGGACTTCACGGTGACTCGCTACTACGTGCCCTCGAAGAAAGCCGAGCTGCCCGCAGATCGCGCCCGACGCAGGGGTCAAGTGCTGCGCCAAGTATGGTTCCAGGGCTCACATTCGGACGTGGGCGGTGGACACGCATGGCACGGTCTTTCGGTGAGTTGCATGAAATCGCCCCGACGGATAGAAAATGTGCTCACAGCAGTGCGCAATCGCAGGACGTGGCCTTATCCTGGATGGTTGCAAATTTGCACGACGCGCCCGGCGGCCCTCTCATCGATGTGGACCTCGTGACGCTCAAAGCCTTACAAGATCGCCGTCGCATATGGGCTCTGCAACCTCAGCACCCATCACGCATCGCTGTAGAGCTCCAGCTCACACGCCAAGTCATGCATGTGCCTGACATCGCGGCCAAGGGTGATGGAGGAGAGGACGTCGGGCTAGTCGGAAGATTCTGGGAGAGTATGGTGCAGAGTTCGAGAGCCTTGGCAGCCGATCCCGAAAGTAGAGACGACGAGCGAGCCGCTGAGGAAGCAGACGCGGACGTCGACTGTCAGGCCATCGAAGAGGTCCATCATAGCGTTGTGCTTGGAGGGCGCTACAATCCCCTCAAGAGCCGACAGTTTGACGAGCTTCGCAAGCGCGATTCAGCTTTGCTGGACAGACTCTGGGCGCGCGCTGGTAACCCTGCCAGTTTGCTGCCAACAGAGAGAGAATTGCGCTGGTCGGAAGCAGACAAGCACATGACCCCAGCAACTCCAACTCACCGCAACATGCCCTGGCACGAGGAAGACGAGGATCTCGAAGCGGTCACAAACGAGCTGCCATCCGACAAAGCTGCCAATGTGGCCGGAGATTTGCAGGGCACTGACGCCCAGCTGCCGCCCGGCAAGCCGCCCGGGGTCTCGCGCATCTCTTGGACCACGCTCAAGAGTATTGTCGAGGCACCCACTAGGCTTCTTGCCATCATCGTCAACCGTCGTCCAGTTCCCGACGACAACCTGAAAGTGAGGGACGCTTCTATAACGATTACCCTTGTACACTTGCTGACGTTGATGACGT